TACCTATACGGATTACCTAGTTTTTCATAAATTATATATATATATATATATATATATATATATATATATAGGTACTATTCACAGTTTCAAGTATCCTTGAGTGGGTCTTCGGACATATCCGTCGCAAATAGGGGAGAACTAATATATGCGTATATGTGTACGTGTGTGGTACTTATCGTGGAGTGAGATTAACAAATGAGTTTTGTAGTCAACTGGGTGCACGACTAACTTATATTCCATGACTGGTTTATGTAAATAAATGTGTAACGGTGTCAAATCGAATGCTTTCACTTTTTCCCCTTCCCCAGTTAAAACATTTAATGAATTCCACGCTCTGTCAAAAAAAAAAAAACAACATTCAACGCTTTTAATTGCAGTTCTCGTCTGTATGCGTGGTAAGAACTGTAAAGTGGAAATAATGAATATAGTTCCTCAGGACATTTACTATGGAAATAGCGATTGATTAACGATAGGCTTCCGTGGGGAAGCAGTTGTGGAGTGTAAATAATTCATCACCGACAAGGCCGCGTAAACGCTTTTGAACTAAAAGGCTTGGCAGAGGACTAATAATCTCCAGCCTAGTTATGGCTATTCCATTTTTGGTCCGATATCGTCTTTGTGAAGATAGAGCATTCTCTTTCCTGTTAAAGGAACCTTTCCCTGGTTGACCATTTCTTTCTCACTCCTGTTGGAAAAAGTCCTCGTTGGTTGACCATGTCTTCAGGGGTATATATGTACTCACCATGCTTGGCCAATTGCGGGTTGGTGAGGCTATTTAATTCATAGATGTCTTCCAAACAACTGCGTTTTAATTCAGAGATTTTTTTCTCTTAGGTTGATTGCCAATCATAGCGAGATAACATTGTTCACCTTGTTGTTTAACATACCCGTGGGAAGAAGTGATAGATTCATATATTTCTATTTGCAGGAAAGTAAACGCAACGGCCTCGTCGGGAATTTAAATTCGATGACACGCGAATCCCACTTGTGGCATGTGGGACTGGCGTGTTGTACTCTTATACTCGCTATGCTACGCGCACATACACGTTATTAAGTAGCACTCTCTAATATTTCAGTTAATCTGGATTTGTACATAGGTAAGACAGACAAAAGCGTATAATGCGTATATATCAGCTACTCTCTTAGTGTACAGTTTTGCATCCAATAAAAATTTAACATCAAATAGCTGCTGTCATTAGACTTCTGTTTCGCTCAAGCAATGTTTTTGAACCTTTTTTTTTTTAATCTCACGACACTTGAATCTATCGTTAAACTTCAGCGGCACACTTAAATTATCTCTCAGTCAGTTATGTGCCATGCGTGATACACGCTTAGGCGATCATGTATTTTTCGATACATGACTGACGAGGCAGATTTTTTTTCCGCAGTAGATTGTCATTTCTTTCTGCGGTAGGGCAGTTGCCATCCAAGGCTAGTTTGGAGAGTTATTATTATTATTATTTATTATTATTCTACAAGGGCTAAAGAAACGGCAATTATATATATATTAGTGTTTGTGGAATGGTTGGACAGAAAGAATATAAGTGCCGCGATGGTACAATGGCTTCTCATCTGCATTGGTGCCTATGTAGGAAATATGGTGATTTTCTAAACGTAGCTTAGATGTGGCACAAGGCCGAAAATATGGGAGCACCCGGTGAGGGTCGAACCAACTATTCAGTTGTAATGGATCTAGCAAGATAACAAATTTGCTAACCATTACATCACGTCTAAGTGTTCCATATGTAGGAAGTCTGTCAGTCAGTTATGTGCCATGCGTGATACACGCTTAGGCGATCATTTATCTTTCGATACATGACTGACGAGTCAGATTTTTTTTCCCGCAGTAGTCTGCCATTTCTTTCTGCGGTAGACCAGTTGCCATCCAAGGCTATAGAACCTGGTCTACACTTCTATTTACACATATCTGCGGTAGAGGGAGAAGAATAAGTTTCATACCTTTCCCAATGGTATTAGTACGTAAGTGAATGTAATGGATTCGACTGGAATTCGAATATAACATTTAGTAATACTAATTTTTACATGGGTAAATTTACTACCAGGTTTTCTTGGGAGTGAATGTGAACTCCGCGAAAGTGAGTCGGAATAAGATAAGCGAGGATTTAATATATCCGCTCTGCTGTCATTCTTGCAATAGGAAACCAATGTGCTATTTCAGGAGAATAATGCTCGACCACATGATCCCCGTGTTAGTCTACATGTTTTACATGATATTCGACAAATTCACTGGCTAGAACTGTCCTCCATTAAACATGTATGGAACGTGATGGGACGACTCATCATTCGTTCCGTTAGTCTGCTTACAACACTTGCTGTATTGCATTAAGAACTATCGAATAATAGAATTACTGAATGGTATTCGCCATCCGTACGACTGAATGCATGCGAAAGTACAGGATGTATTAACGCCTAAGGAGGAGATCTATCTATCTATCTATCTATCTATCTAATCGCCCTCAAACGGCTACATAACTGTAATTATAGATTTTGAAAAAGAAATATGCATTTTCTGGGCAGTCCTTTCATTTACTAACGTTACATAAAATCTCTAAAATAAGTTGCTAGCACTATTTACATTGCTCGGACTATCATCCTCATCTTTGTTACCATATTTACCACGTTTCGGCCGTTGTACGCTCCGGCCTTCTTCAGGTGCTTGGAATGTCGAACTGAACCCTTTATTTCGCTCGCTGGGGTAGTCTGTTCTAGTTCCACATGCCATATCTAATGGATGTCAGTTGTCAGTTATCTCCTGGTAATTCCCCTCTCCAAGTTCTCCACCGCCTTAACCAAGTATTGAACTCGCATTCTTTGGGTCTTTGCCGAAACGTTGTGATAAATATGGCATCGAAGATGAGGATGATAGTCCGGGCAATGTAAATAGTGTACATAATACCTCATCTCAGAAATATAGACAGATACTGAAGTTGCTAGCATTTGAATTTATACATTTTTTTCTCGAGTATTGACAATAAAAATGTAAAACACTATTTATTCATTAGATTTATAAAATAATCTGGCAAAGTTTAACAAAAACGAGTTAGTATAGAATAATAGCGTTGACAAAAAATATCGTCTTTCTGACACACGCGTTTGTTGTTATTGTTGTTTTTGCGGATACATTTGTTAAACTTTACCAATACATTTTTCTGTTATGCTAACAGAAGGCATTACACGGTGCCAACAATTTCATTAGTAAGTAGGGGAAATTAGGCTGCTAATACATTGGTTTTTATTTCTTTTGTTTTATGCTAGAATTCTTTATATGTTTTTGCTTTTCTTCTCCTCCTTCTATATGTCATGTCCCTTCAGGACATGAGCGATCATGGTTCGCCAAATCTCCCTGTCTCTTGTGGCCCATAGCATTTTTCTCCCTCCCTACTTCCGCCATCCATTCACACAAGGTCGTCATGTAGGTGACTCTCTTGCCCTCAATACGTCTTGTGAGGGTTGAAATTTCTAAGCCTTCCTTCCTCATTATGTGTCCAAGAAATTTCAGCTGTCTTTTCCCGATTCTGAGTACAAATGTTCTTTTTTTTTGTTGCCATTTTCTTTAAGACTTCCTTGTTGCTTATTTTCTTCAGCTATGGCATTCTCAGTATCCTTCTATGGAAACATATTACTGTTTCCTTCAGTTTTCTCCTAATCCGTTTTTTTATTGTCTGGCATTCACTGCCATATAAGAATATGGATATCACATAGCAATCCAGCACTTTTTTTCTTTGTTTCTAACGATTTTTTCGTTTCTCAGCACTTTGCTTAGGTTTTGGACTGCCTCTTTCGCTAGTTCAATGCTTGTTCGGATTTCAGTATTGCATTTTCCATCCTCTGTTAAAACATTTAGCAGAATTCTTTCTGAAAGGCAACGATAGAGTTAATTGTATAGATGGAAATCTAACATTATTTATGCAGAAAATATAACCAGGTAACGGGGAAAATTATTTAACAATTAATTATTTAACTTTTGAAGGCACAAGTAAATAAGCAGCTAAATAAAGTTATGGGTTCGTGGCTGAACGGTCAGAACATTAGCTTTCCGATTAGAAGACACTGTGATAATTTCAAAACCTGTAACATTGTTGGGAATTATCAGAAAACAATACCATGCGATGATCCAAGTTATGTGTATGAAATCGAGTAGAGAAAACTCTTCAGAAACGTTCAATGGTTGTGTTAAAACGATGTCACGATGTTCTTGAATGTATTGGCTTATCTTGATCACCCCAGATTATACGAAAATTGTAACTAAAATCTATACGGTATCTTCTTATTCTATGTGCTTTTCTCTTTATGGCAATCATGTCTCTCCACAATTTCCTGACCTTTATGGCTCTTAGTAAAGTGCATCTTTTTGTTGCCATCTCTTCTAATCCCTGTTCTCCATCCTGGGTAAGACAATAAACTACATCCAGCAGCAAGGCTTTTGATCAGGAGGTTTTGAGGATCGTGGAACCACCTCTTAATTCCTGGCGTACCCAGGTTCACACTGACCCGGGATGGTAGCACCTGTTAACAAATAGTTGACACCAAAACTTTTAATACCAGAAATACTTTGTAATAAAAAAAAATATTATAAGCAATAATTTTTGAAAGGCATTAAATAACCCATTGAGGTTGATATGCCATAAAACAAACCAAATCAAACCAAACCTAATCCCTGTTCTGCAAATCATTTGCACAAGCTTGGTAATTTATGCACTGCTTTCATCTCTCCCTCTTGCCTTCAATATGTACTGTAAGTGTCAAATTTTCTAAGCCCTCTTTCAAGCAATTACTATGAAAGTATTTATAGAAAAGACACAGATAGGCAACATTACGGCGGTGAGAAAGTGACTAAAGACGAGATGCCAGATTAGAACCAATAATATTTCTGATTATTCTTTTTTAGGTTCGACCACTGATTAAAATAGTTCCCCTCACTCTGGCTCTAATTTCATTTTCTTTTCTTTTTTTCCAGACATGACGTCATTCCTATCGTGATGGGCGCACACCCAGACGACTACCGCAAGGTTGCGCCACCGCACTCTTTCATTCATGTGGACGACTTCGAGTCGCCGGCAGCCTTGGCCGCCTACCTGCACAAACTGGACCAAAACGACGATCTCTACAACGAGTATTTTAAGTGGAAGGGTACGGGCGAGTTCATAAACACTTTCTTTTGGTGCCGCGTGTGTGCGATGATACACGCAGCCGACAACCACAAGCCAAGTTGGTACGAAGACATTGATACGTGGTGGAGGGGTGATGGTATTTGCATAGGAAAAGAGAGCTGGACGCATAAGAACAGTAAGAGAGTTGTTAAGAAACAACCAACATGAGAGAAAGAAATTTTCGAAATAAAGAAACAAGAGACAATTTAAAAAAAAAATCAATAATAAACTAAAGCGAGACAGACAAAAAAAAACGTTTGAATTTTTTAATCAAACAATAGGTATTTTAATAAGAATTTATTTAAAACAAAAGATATACGAAGAATTCTTTTCTCAATAAATGAACTGGAAAGGCTGATATGAAGACGAAAACGCAAGTGGGGAGCAGAATTTTTGCTGATAATCTTTAAAATTATAGGAGGTGACGATTATGGTGATGTAATGGGGTCTACATACTCACCTCCATATCCTTAACCAAAAAAAGTGAGACCAACTCAGACAACAAGGTCTCGGACAGTTATATTTTTCCCAGAAAAATCCTTTTATTTTTTAAATACATGCACACACGAACACTTTGTTATATACGTACATACACGCAAGTGCGCATATATATATATATATATATATATATATATGCCTAAATACACGTATTTCTGATTGTTATTTTCCATTATTATCTATATTTTTATTTGATTGGGATTTTTTTTAATTTCTTTTCTATTACTTTTTTTAATAATATTGTTTCCTTTTAAAGAACAAAAACGATTTGACTTTTTATTTGTATATTTCGGGGATCAAGATTTGAATGAATGGGAATTATAAAAGTTATTATAGAAATATTTCTTTCTTTCAATATCTAATTTTAATTTATTCGTTCAATACACAGACTGATTCAAAAATAGCGAACGATTTCTGGTTTTATGGCTGCCAGATTATTTAAAAAAAAACGAATAATCTGCAACATGACTTCATAGAATTTGGTCGCACCATATATATATATATATATATATATATATATGATATCTTTCAGAATTGTCCCCCGAAACGATAACAGACAAAACTCAGGGGTAAGTTAGCACAAAATTCCAGTACTCATGATATTACATCATGCATGTGCACACACATTACTTGATGTGTGTGATATCTACTAAATTGCTTTACACATCAGAATAGCTTGTATACAAGAACTGTTTGGTATTCAGCAAATACATACATATATATATATACATACATACATATATATATATATATATATATATATATATATATATATAGACACAAACAATTCAGATACTATATGAATATTTTATCTATTTGGACTGTTTTATTCAGAAAGACACGCACACACAACATATACACATGCATGTTGTGTGTGCGTGGCTTTCTGTATAAAACTTCAATTGCGAAATCGAGAAATCTCAATGAAGACCATACGAGGAGCCTATATTTTCTTTAAAAGGGAAAATAAAGCCTTGCTGTACTGTGACGCTCTTCGTAGCCGAACGGTGAAGCACACCAGATTCAACGGTGGTTTCTCTTATAAAGCAGGATGTAGGTTCGATTTCTGCTGGTGCGCACGTTTTCTATATTGAGATTTCTCGAGTACGCAGACCGATAGATGTAATACACAGTTTCAAGTAGAAATTAGAAATGGAGCATATATTTTAAATACGAGTAGCCATTATAATAACGTTTGAAACTATAAAAAATACCGGAGTAAAATTAAATCCATTAATTCTTTATATATACATATATATGTTATAAATTAGGATATATGGTCCCGATAGAGTTATAAATTATTTACATTTGGAAAAACGTTCATGAAAGTATGCTTCGAAAAACCATCCGACTATGCATTTCGCCTGTTAGGCTTCATCTGAGCGAAGAGGAAAAATGAGTTGTGCATGTATTTGTGTGTGTTCAAAATAATGAAATCTTATATTTCTCCCAAGCTTTTTTTAGTCATGAGAGGAACGCCAGCTTGGGAAAAAAATATAAGATTTCATTATTTTAAACACACACAATACATACACATGCAACTCATTTTTCGTCTTCGATTTGATGAAGCCTAACAGGCGAAACAGATGTTTTTAAAACATGCTTACATGAACGTTTTTCAACAATTTCTATATATATATATATATATATATATATATATATATATATATATATATATATATATATATATAAATATTTCTTAGCTATATAATCCTACTGAAACCTAATAATATAGAATAATAAAACTGACCCACAAAAGAAGCTCAATGTATTTATTATAACAGGACACATATAAATAGATAAATTACATAGAATAGAAACACAAAATTACCCCATTTTAAATGGGGTAATTTTGAATTTATATTCTATGTAATGTATGTATTTATATATATAATATTCTGTAAATTAGACGTATATATCTGCATATATGTATGTACGTATTCATATATATATATATATAGTGAAGATTTGCAAAACACATTCGCAGAAACATCACCACAGTTACATTCAGATATACACCCACAGATATGATACATATACACAGTCTATACACACAAAATCTCTATCTCCAATATTTAACGCTCTTACAAACGTTAAGCGCTATATCACCGAAATTGCACATATACATACTTATGCATACATACACATGCGCGTGCATATATATATATATATATATATATTATTATATAGGGGATGGACTAACTGTTGTATTAAATTGAGTATATATATATATATATATATATATATATATATATATATATATATATATATGTGTGTGTGTGTGTTACATTTTTATACAACGCGTTTTAGCCACTTGCATACACTTTTATCGATCGCCTCCTGAACACTCGCTAATTAATGAAAATATGACATATGTATATATAAATTTATTTATGTAAATATATACATCCATACATATCTACATACACACATAAATACATACACACACACACAGATATATATACAATATTATAAAAATATATATCTAGATACTATATTAATATGTATATATATACACGATATTATAAAATATATATCTATATACTCTATTAATATATATACATGTGTGTGTATATATATATATATATATATATATATATATATATATATATATATATATATATATATAATCAATTATAAAATGTTATTTTGCAAATAGAAATACTAAAATATAAATTTGTGTGACGAAATTATTCGGGGGCAATGACAGTAAAGATCTCATCTAATAGGACGCCAACATTTTTTTTCTTTTTTGGCTGTTTTTTGTTGGGCTTTTATTTTCATCTTATGTTTTAACTTGTAAAAATCTGATTTTTATATTTGGGGAAGACAAATCAATCACAAGTGATCGAATGAAAGTATGAAAAAGGAAACATTTTTTAAGCACAATTTAAAAAGGGGCTAAGTAAATCAATGACAAATAAACCCAAATCAGGCAAGAAAAAAATATATATATATATTATTGACAGAAAAAAAAATCTGTACTTGCCTGTGCTTCAATTTTTATTCCGATACATTCTTCTGAGAGCCGACTCCCTTGGCTGCGCAAATGACTGGTACGCAAATATTCAAATAGCGAAGGAAGAACTTTGGGGGAAAGCGTAAAACAGAAAAAAAAAGAGGAATAAAAGAAAATATTGGATTAAACATTCGAATAAACTAAAGAAAGGATAATATTACTGTGAATATTCAAAACGTTGTACTTTTAAAAAAAACTGATGAAGTAAAGAAAGCTGTGACACCGACGAAAGACAAATATATCTCTCAAAGGTACTTACTGTGTTATATAAAGAAAAAGAGACAAAATGAACCCGATTTTAGTCTGCTCTTTCTGTTTGCGCTCTTTTCAACAAATACTGTAGTCCGTTTGGGACCCTTGAGGTGCATTACTGGATTCTAAAATGTGCGTACACGGTGCATGGGTGTTATGTGTGTGCGTGTGTGTGTGTGTGATTATATGTGTCTGTGTTTTAAAGGAATAAAAAAATAAAAAAGGGGAAACAACAAATGTACACACATAGCTATGTATACACATAGCCGCTCAGTCCATTCATTTACACACACGTATATGTATAAATGCAAACGTACGCGTGTCTGTGTGCTGTTTACAGATGTATACGAACATATTTACATAAATATGTATACTGCGTGCGTTTCTAAGTGAACATATATATCAATATATTATAGACTCACATTTGTGTATGTATACATACATATACTTTGTCGGTATATAGTATATAATATATATATATATATAACGATGTACGTGTTCACATGCATATGTAAATTTATTCAAGTACATACATATGTATATGTGTAGGCATATGACTGTATACTTCTATACGTATGTGTATTCATGTGCCATTTTATGAATATATCTATGAGAGAGAGAGAGAATATATATATATATATATATATATAGTATGTATGTATGTATGTATGTATTAATAAATAAAATTAAACGTTCACATCCTGTTCCTACTCAGAGGTTCGTGGAGAAGACATCCGCTAATCAGGAGACTTTATTGTAAAAGTTCAATCAAGTTTCCTGATCAGTGGACGTAATCGATGCGAAAATCTAAGTAGAGACAAGGTAAGTGAATGTCTAACTTTACCTATTATTTTTAATGCTCTATCTCTGGAAATTGAGCACTCTAATTACAAAGACTGCTTGCCTTGAAAACGTTGTCTTCCAGAAATATTCTGATCGACCGTTTTTGTTTTTTTGTTTTTTTTTGTGGGGCAAAATACAATCTTTGTTTTATAGTTTGCCTGAACGTTGCACCTTGGGAGAGGAGAAGTAAGAATGGTTGAATGATGTACGCATGCTTCAAGTTCAAAAAGGGCCAATCACGTGACGAATTGCGTTATGTGAATTTAAAAAAAAAAAAAAAAAAACAAATTTCTTGTGATTCAATGCACGTTTAAAAATGGATTTAGTTTCCAAATAAACGGGGGAAACATTTTTAAAAAAATAAATAAAACGCTTTATTCCAAACTGAAACATTGAAAAAAAAACTGAGTGTGGATCTGTCTGGATGCCATTTTTGTGTGTGTGCGCCTTCTGTGCCACCCACCACCCTAAAGAGTGGGAGCTTCTATATAAGTATGTGACAAAAATTAAAAAATTTTTACCGT